AGTGTTATAGATTTCACAGAGTACCATGCATTTATTTTTCTGTCTTTAAGGACCCTCCATAGCTGGAGGACTTGCCACCTCAAGGGTAGTCCAGTACCACCAGCAGCAGAGGAATCCCAGGAAGTTTGTTAGAAGCATAGAGTGCACCAGGCTTGCTGAATCAGATGCTGTACTTTCACAAACTTCACAAGTGATTCCAATGTATATCAAGTTTTGGAAACTGGTTAGAGCTGATTTAGTTGATGCTTCGTCCTATACAGTGGGGCTCTAACATATTTTTCCGCCTTACAACTAGATTGCTCAGCATAAAATTACTGATTTTGTTTGTTTTAAATTAAGCATTTTGGAAACTGTCTCATAATTTTTAATGTCAAATTGCTAAAATGTGCCCAATGTATTTTATCTGATATCCATAAATCTTTATGAAATGATCATCTTTTACTCCAGATGTATAAGAAGCGTACTCAGTCCAAGGAACCTGCTTTGCACATGGTGCCTTCATGAGTCTTGTTTGTTTTCTGCCTGAAAACATGGGGCCCAATGAGGCTGTTCTGCTCATCCCACCAGCACATTCAGTGGGCCCACACTCAGGCCTCTTCCATGGCAAATCTCCTCTCTACTATTCTAGGTAGGAGATAATATGGGAAAATGAGAAGATTTTATTCCAAGCCCTTTCCTACCCACTCCTCCTGACTTTTGAGACTAAGCCATTCTTTGTTGGGTGGGACTGTTCAATAGGAGGTTTAGCAGCATCATTGGCCTCTACCTTCTGCTGGCCTATCCCTATTGCTAGACCATGAACAGTAACATACAGCCACGTGATAATCACCAGTCTACCCCGGCTCTCCTTCCCCCACCAGTGGTGACAACCAAAATGTCTCAGCATTGTGAAATATCCCACAGGGGACTAAAGCAGTCCTAGCTGAGAACTACTGACCTTGAAGTATGTCAGTATGCACAATTTTACTCTTAGTTTTGAGTTTCTCTTTCATCTAGCTCTTCCTTGTGAGACTGCCCCCTTCTGGTCAGTGTGAAGCTCCAGGTAACCAAGGCTTTACACCCCCACAACTGATGTCAGTTTACTTTGATCTTAGAGTTCCATGCAAATAAAAGGATATTCAATTTCTGCTTAATTGTCTTTGCAGGTGCATTTACAAGTTTAAGAGTTTTATTATTCTTCAGGGCTCACTTTATAAGCATTGCTTGCAAAAACTGAGCAGATGCACATATCACCGAAACAGTTTTGGTTTAGAAAACATGCAGGTCCTTCAGCCCATGTCTATCTCCATAAGTAGCAGTGTGATCTTGGGTAAGCAACCTTCACTGTGAAACAAAATTCTACCTGATAGACTTATTGTGAGAGTTAAATAACATGTTCAATCAGTAGTAAGAATCATGTCTAACACAGAGAAAATCAGCAATTTATTCTACTTCTTCTAAAGCTACTTCTTGTTATTATTCTAGTATTTCATCTTTATATATTAGTTATGTTTTTGTAATAAGACAAATATCCAAGCAATATCTTATATTCAGATAACTTTCAACAGCTTATCTGAATATTTTTGTATTGATTTTCATATTCAGTAGGCACAGATATTAGAAGTGGGAATGTTCAAACTCATTTTACAGACTAGAGAGACACTAAGGTCAATAAACTTGATGGACCAACATTTCAGTTAGTTAAAAGCAGAGCCAAGATTCCAACCTACAACAGACCCCCCTTCAGTGCTCATTCGTGTCCTTTACTCTCTGGCCTAAAGAAAGTAAGCAGTTTTCAAGGGGAATTAAATATCAAGATTATTTATATTTTCCAATGGGGTTCTAAAAGGAAAATTGTTGCAATCCATGACCAAAATTTCATGTGTATGTGTGTGTGCATGTACGTACGTGTGCATGTGTATATGTGTACATGTGTGTGTATGTATATGAGTGTAAGCATGTGATCTTAGTGGGGAAGATTTCCGGCTTCCATGAGTAAGGATCCTGTCCACTACAGGTTCTTGTAGATGCTCTTAATAAGAGGCGGGAGCTCCCTTCTGTCACAACTTTCTCAAGCAGTGTTTGTTTTGTTTTGTTTTGTTTTGTTTTTTGTTTTTTTGGTTTTTTTTTTTTTTTTTTTTTTGACAGGCAGAGTGGACAGTGAGAGAGAGAGACAGAAAAAGGTCTTCCTTTGCCGTTGGTTCACCCTTCAATGGCCGCCGTGGCCGGCGCACCACGCTGATCCGATGGCAGGAGCCAGGTACTTATCCTGGTCTCCCATGGGGTGCAGGGCCCAAGTACTTGAGCCATCCTCCACTGCACTCCCTGGCCACAGCAGAGAGCTGGCCTGGAAGAAGGGCATCCGGGACAGAATCCAGCGCCCCGACCAGGACTAGAACCCGGTGTGCCGGCGCCAAAAGGCGAGGATTAGCCTAGTGAGCCACGGCACCGGCTTTCAAGCAGTGTGTTTTTAACCAAGAATGGGTGGTCTATTTGCCAGGTACTTTTTGAGATTATCGCATGCGGTATTTTCCTGTCCTTAAATGATATGATGGTTGCATTGACTGATTTGCAGAAAGCAAGCTGTTTTTGTCTCTGGTTCCACTGCCATGTGCATGCCCAGCAGGGACACGCGGCCACGGCCCCTCAGAAGGCTCGAGGTCCTGAAGTGGAGGAGCATGAGGAGGGAGAGCAGGAGGAAAATTCTGGGCCAGACTGGTCAGGGTGAGCATTTGTGGAGTTGTGAAGCCATTGTTTTGTGTATGCGTTTCCTTGGTGCTACGTAGTTGCCTGTGCTAAGCACTTTTTGGAAATATCTAGTCTTTCTAGATGTTCTGGATGCCTGGTATAAGGTCATAGTTGAAGCAGTCAAAGAACACATTTTGTAAGTAATCTTTTTGTAACAATGCATAGAAAAGTTTGTTTTTCTTTGCTGGGGGGTGTGGTGGCTAGACTCCCCCTGAGTGGCCTGCATTGTGTTTGGGTGCTGGTGTGGGGGAGGAGCGGGTGGAGGAGAGGGAAGGAGTGGGAAGAGCTCCGTGCCGTCCAGCTTCTAGTGCGGCGCCACGGACCACAGTCCCCTGTGCGTGTGCATTTTGCGTCACTCTGCTCTCTATATGCTGTATAGAAAGGACCGATGCGTCCTGACTTGGAGCTGCAGACTTGGAAACCACAGAACCTTCTTCCACAGCTGTAGCTGCCTGGGGAATTTACTGAGAGAAACAGGAAATGGCTCCCATTACGGTCACCCCTGCTGTCCCGGAGTGCCCAGGAGGCGGCAGCAAGAGATCACAGGGAGGACAGGAGGCCCTGCAGGGATGCAGATGCCCGCAGTTGCCGACACAGCCCACTCATGATGGCCACCATGGACAGAGGGCCCCCGAGGGACTCAGACACTCTCTGCTAGACATGACATCACCCCCTCTGGCCCATGTGGACAGAAATCCCCTGGGGACAAAGGCATCCTTAGCAGTCACACTAAGCCCAGCACCCGTTCCTCCAGGAACCCTACTGGGGGGTTCACAAGCCTATGCCACCCTGGATCCCAACATGTGACCCCAAGTTCTGGAAGAGTAACTGACCCCTGGCTCTGCCGGTGCATCTGCAGACATGAACCATCCTGACTGCTGACACCTCCACCCCGGGGCTCCCTGATATGCACTCTGTCATCTACACCAAGGGACTGATGTCGGGGTGCCCGTGAGGGAGGGCTCTCTAGCTCGACAGGCATACATAGCTACCCTGTGCACCCCATTTAGGTGCGCCCTCCTCAATTCCTGCACAGTTAGCACCTAGGTCTCCCAGATGCCAGGTACCATGTTGTGGGAGGGGGGATGATCCATGGTTTTTCCCAGAGTGCCTTGTGTGGGTACTGACACTGTGGGGTGGTCCTGGCCACCCCCACAAACACTTGCACCTGCCCAGTTCCCACCGACTCAGCTGCCTCCCTCAAGCCCACAGACTGCCTGCCCAATCCAGCCCAAGGCCTGTGGAAAAGTTGAGAAAACCTTGAAGAAATTCACCACGGGTTTCAACATCTTCAGAAAAACGAACTCCCCTGACCATTGACTTCCCTGCAGCTTCTGGCTCTGAGCTGTGATTCTGCACATGGTGGGCCTGGTGCTTGCCATGGTCTAGGTGCAGCAGGGGAGGAGAACCACCCCTGAGTTCCCAGTCCCATGATGGGCAGGGACTCGGTATTGTGTTAGTGACCATGGCCATTTGCTCTCAGGTGAGGAGGGGCCCAGTGCCCAGCCAGGTGCCTGACACAGAGCTGGAGCCCTTGCAGGGAGTTGTCCCCCCACCAGGAACACTGCACAGTCTCCCATTTGCAGCCACAGTGCATCTCGGCCTGGATGCTAGGTGCTCTGTCAGTGAAGGTGGTTCCTGGCCTGGCCTGGTTTCTCTCCTGTGCTGTGGACACCACTGCCTGCACCATCCAGGCCAAACACTCCTGGGTTCCTCCTGTCACAGCCCCATCCGTGGGCAGTGGGATAAGGGCTGGCACAGCTGTGATCACAGTGACCGATGGTGATGCGGTTCCCCAGGCACGGAGGTTGTGCCCCTGCTGGGAGAAAGGCTGCCCTGTCCATGTGGAACTCATGTGAGTCCTCACCCAGGAGCCAGGAGCTGAGGAGCTGGGAGCTCGTAGAGTGAGCAGGGAACTACATGCATCTCATTTCACCTGGCTCCATGGTGCCCTATGGGGAGAGCTGTGAGCCCACGTCACAGATGAGAACACTGAGGCTCCAATGAGGACACCAGCCACTCTGCCTACCCTCATAACCTGTGTTCCTAACCATGAGGGGGCACTGACCAGCCCATGGCCATGCCCATGGTTCCCCTGGATTCCTCACTCTTCTGGGCAGTCAGTGAGCCCTGGACACACAGGGGCTTCCTCCTCCCTGCTCCAGGACAGAGGCGGGTACCCTGCAGGTCACCATGGGGCTCCCATGTACAGCAGGGAGAAGGTGGCTGCACAGCACGGGTGGGGACTCAATGCACTGGTATCCACGCAGGAACATGAAAAGAGCTATATTGTACTACATACAGAGGGGGACTGAAATAAACTGTCTCAGAGAGCAGAAAAGGGAGCTACAAAACAATATGTTGCCCAGGGGCAGGATGGCTCTGACTGGAGGTGGCCCTGGGAGGACCCAGGAGCTGAGCTGTGCAGAGCCGGGTTTGCTGCCACCACAGTTGTTTCACTCGTGGCTGGGGCCAGAGTGGGGCCCCGATGAGCGGATGGGGAAACAGCTTAGAAGGGTGCGCACCCAGCTGGGTGAACGACGGCGGGGACGGTCCTGGCTGGGGATCACACACTGCCCACGCCGGCGGCCCCAGGGCCAGCACAGCTTCGTGAACCAGGGCTGGGGACGATCTGGCTCTTGTTTGGCTTCTGGACATGCAGGAGGCTCCAGGCTGTCCACAGCTGGCACAATTGCCAGGGACAAACAGGCTTCATCTGGTTCTGGCTGGAGAGCAATTGTTGGCACCAAATCTGACCCCAGAAATGCAGCAGCTGCTGCAGGAGGCACCTCCTCGTCCCCACCTGGTGCTGGAGCTGCAGGAGGAGAACATGTCATGAACACCACTGCCCCTTCCTGCTGTCCTTGCCAAGAGGGAGATGTCCCTGCCCTCCAGAGCAGCCCCAGCCCTGTGCCCACAGCAGAGCCCTGGGCGGAATGTGCTGCAGCACTGGGACTCTGAGCCTGGTCTTCACTCCAGCCAACACCAGCCTTGGAGTCTCCTAGTGCTGCCCAGCTCCAAGGCCATCCTAGGCTCCCAGACACTCACCCACGCCCTCCTCACCCTCGGGCTCAGCCTCAGCCTCCTTGGGCTCTGGATCCTCCAGCTGGATGAGGAGCAGCTGGGCTTGGCGTGCCAGGTCCGAGAAGGGCATATGGAGCTGGACGTAGGTCACCAGCAGTTTCAGGCTGGCCCGGTCCTGGAAGTCCTCCGGGAAAGAGTCCAGCCAGGTTCCCAGGATGGAGCAGAGGGCGCTGAGGACAGGCAGGCAGGCAGGAGTATCAGAGGCCTGGAGTCTCCTGCCCCACAACTCTCTCACACACCTCAGTGTATGCAGCCTGGGCAGAGAATGCTCAGCACCATGTGCAGGTGGGCAGTGGGAGGCCCGTGTGTGAGCTGTCTGTGCCCAACCTCAAGTCCTGAAATGGGGAGGGGTTGGCCAGGCCTGCTGGATGGGTTGTGTCGGGATAAATCTCACTGCTTCTCAGATGCTCTGCACCAGACAATTCTGTTCCCTGCTGTAGGCAAGGGCCCTGACCTCAGCCCTCAAGCAGGAGTTACAGCAGGGTCATGTTGGGGTCATGGTCAGCAACCTAGTAGCACCGCCATGTCCCTGCTAGGGAGAATGGAACCTCCCTCCTCAGCCAAGCCCACTCACTGCTTAGCACGGTCGTCCTCTTCACAGTCGGACCGAAAGTATGCATACCTAGAGAAGGACAGAAGGTGTCACCTGTGGTGTCCTGTGTCCCACCTGCCAGGAGGTCTGGGGGAGGGGCTGATTCCCTGACTAGACAGGAAGCAAAGCAGCAGAGATACGGTGGTCTGTACTGTGCACTGTATACTACTGAAGGCCTGGACAGGAACCTGCACATCGTGGATACTTCATTGTATATGCAGTGTGAGTGATTGAACTCAGCCAGCCGCTTGCAGGTGTCAGAGTGGCACTGGCGTACTCTACTGCCCACGGGTTCTCAGTTTGAGCCACAAACAACACAGAGACCTCCACGTAGAAACCGGAAGTTTCTTTGTAAATAGAAAAATTGATTTACCCAAGAACATGAGTGGTGAGGACTGAAGCCCAGAGACTCAATCTGGGTGAGGAAAATCCTAAATGAGACCCCTGTCCTGGGCACCCACTCCTCAGGGCCAGGCACAGGGAAACCCTTTCTGGGGCTCATCCCCTTGGTTCTAAAATCACCCAGGGGCTGCTCCCCTGAGCACCCACATTCTGCGTGGTTAATCTGAGGCTGTGCAGGGCCTGGGGCATCCCTGAGACCCAGTCTGGAGGTGCTGAGTCATGGCAGGTCCAGCAGGTGCAGGCCCTCACCTGTGGAACAGCGTGTGCAGCACCTGTTGGGTGGTGATGAACCCTCGATAGGTGTGCAAGAAGGTGGGGACGATGAAGGGGTCCCCTCTCTGCAGGGCAGGCACCAGCTCATCCACCAGATTTTCGACCATGGCTGTGTCCAGGGTCTCCACGTTGCTGGCAGCCAACAAGGAGAGCTCAGAAGTGACATCTGGTTCCTGGAGGGGTCCTGACCCCGGTCCAGCGGCTGGGTACTCAGGGGCCTCAAAAATCAATGCAGCAGGAAGAGGGACTGCCCAGGGCAATGATGTTTCTGCAAAGGAGAAAATAGCAACAGCACGGACTTGCAGCTCATTGTACCCAAAGAAATTTTCCAAGCCTTCCAGGGAAGTCCCAGGATGCAGGAGCCCATACAGGCAGAGAAAATATCAGCACCATAACCCTTCCAGCTCCCTGTGAGAACACGGGGGTGCCCCTGCCCTGCAGAGCTTCCCCAGCCCAGCTCCGACACCAGGACCATGCCCAGACTGTGCTGCAGCCTGGAAGGCTCTAAGCCTTTTCTTCACTCCCAGCCAACACCAGCCTTGGAGCTTCCTCTCAGTGTGGCCCAGCCTGAGAGACTCCCAAGCTCCTAGGCACTGACCCCAGCCCTCCTCACCCTCTGGCTCAGCCAGAAGCTCCGTGGGCTCCGTGTCTTCCAGCTGCATCAGGAGCAGCTGGGCTCGGCAGGCCAGGTCCGAGAAGGGCATATGGAGCTGGACATAGGCCACCAGCTGATGGAGGCAGGCCAGGTCGGAGAAGTCCTCCGGGTACTTTTCTAGCCAGGATCCCAGGAGGAAGCAGAGGGCACTGGGTACAAAGGAAGCAGAGAGAATCAGAGGCCTGGAGTCTCCTGACCTCAGCCCTCTAGCAGGGATCACAGAAATGTGGCAGCTGGGGTCATGGTCAGCAACCAGTAGCACCCCAGTGTCCCCGTGGGGAGAATGCAACTTCCCTCCTGACCCAAAGCCCACTCACTCCTTAGCACAGTTGTCCTCTTCACAGTCGGACCGAAAGTATGCATACCTACAGGAAGACAGGACGTACCACCTGTAGTGTCCTGCCTTCCACCTGACAGGAGACCTGGGGGAGGGCCTGACTCCCTGACTAGAAGGGAAGCAAACAGGGGATTACAGTAGTCTGTGCTAAACACTGTGTTTTGCTGAAGGCCTGGACTGGTTCCTGCACACAGCAGATGCTTCATTGTATATGCGGTTTGAATGCAGGGACTCAGCCTTCTCTTCCCAGGGGACTTAGTGGAAATGGAAACTTTATGAGCAAAACCAGGACAGAGAAATCAGAAGTTTAAATGTGAATAAGAAAACCACATTGCCAGAGAGCATGAGTGGTGAGGACTGAAGCCCAGAGCCTCATTGTGGGAGAAGAAAAATCCTAAATGAGACCCCTGTCCTGGGCAGCTGACTCCTCAGGGCCAGGAACACAGAGATCCTTTCTGGGGCTCCTCCCATTAGTTCTAAAATCACCCAGGGGCTGTGCCGCTTCGCACCCAGATTCTGCGTGGTTAATCTGAGGCTGTGCAGGGCCTGGGGCATCCCTGAGACCCAGCCTGGAGGTGCTGAGTCATGGCAGGTCCAGCAGGTGCAGGCCCTCACCTGTGGAACAGCATGTGCAGCACCTGTTGGGTGGTGATGAACCCTCGATAGATGTGCAAGAAGGTGGGGACGATGAAGGGGTCCCCTCTCTGCAGGGCAGGCACCAGCTCATCCACCAGATTTTCGACCATGGCTGTGTCCAGGGTCTCCACGTTGCTGGCAGCTGACACAGAGAGCACAGGAGTAAAATCTGGTTCCTGGAGGGGTCCTGACCCCAGTTCACATGCTGGATACTCAGGGGACTCCAGTGCCTCTGGAGCTAGAAGAAAGGCTGCCCAGGGCAGTGATGTTTCTGCAAGGGGAAAAAATGTCAACGCATCAGCCCTTCCTGCTCCCTGTACCCAACAAAAGTGCCCATGACTTGCAGGGGAGCCCTAGATTGCAGGAGCTAATGCAGGAGAGACTGTCAGCACCACAGCCTTCCCAGCTCCCTGTGGCAAACCTGGATTCCCCTGACCTGCAGAGCTGTTCCAGCCCTGCACCCACAACAGGACCCTGTCCAAACTGTGTTGCAGCCCTGAGGTCTCTGAGGCTGGTCGTCGCTCCCAGCCAGTGCCAACCTGGAGCCTCCTCTCATTGTGGCCCAGCCCTGAGACCCTCCCAAGTGCCCATGCACCAGCCCCAGCCCTCCTCACCCTCGGGCTCAGCCACCAGCTCCTTGGGCTCCGCGTCCTCCAACTCTGTAAGGAGCAGCTGGGCCCGGTGTGCCAGGTCCGAGAAGGGCATATGGAGCCTAACGTAGGCCACCAGCTGATGCAGACAGGTCAGGTCCTGGAACCCATGGAAGTCCTCTGGATAGTTTTCCAGCCAGATTTCCAGGATGGAGCAGAGGGCGCTGGGGACAGGAAGGCAGGTGGAAGAATCAGAGGCCTGGAGTCTCCTGCCCCACACTCTCCCTCGCACCTCAGCAACGGCCTCTGGGCAGAGGATGCTCAGCCCCGTGTGCAGGAGGGCAGTGCAGAGGCCCACGTGTGAGCCGTCTGTGCCCAACTTGAAGGCCCAAAAAGGGAAGGGGTTTGCCAGCCCTGCTGGGATGGCTTGGGTGGTGAAGAATTCCCACTGCTTCTCAGATGCCCTGCAAACCAGACAATTTTGCCTCCCTGCTATAGGCAAGGCCCCTGACCTCAGCCTACTAGCAGGGATCACAGAAATGTAACAGTTGGGTCCATGGTCAGCAATCCAATGACACCCCAGTGTTCCTGCTGTGGAGAATGGAACCTCCCTCCTGACCCAAAGCCCACTCACTGCTTGGCACGGTCATCCTCTTCACAGCCAGGCTGAAAGTAGCCATACCTAGAGGAGGACAGGAGGTGTCACCTGTGGTGTCCTGTGTCCCACCTGCCAGGAGGCCTGGGTGGGGGAGGACTGACTCCCTGACTAGGAGGGAAGCAAAGCAGCGCAGATACGGTGATCTGTGCTGTGGACTGTATTCTGCTGAAGGCCTAGACAGGAAACTGCACACCGTGGGTACTTCATTGCATATGTAGTGTGAGTGAGGGAACTCAGCCAGCTTCTCTCAGGGGTCAGAGTAGCACTGGCACAGTCTACCTCCCATGGGTTCTCAGTTTGAGCCACAAACAGCACAGAGACACCACGTGGAAACCGGAAATTTCTATGGGAATAGGTAAACCGCTTTACCAGAGAGCACGGGTGGTGAGGACTGAGGCCCAGTGCCTCATTGTGGGTGAAGCAAATCTTAAATGAGACCTCTGTCCTGGGCAGCCAGTTCCTCAGGGCCAGGCACAGGGAAACCCTTTCTGGGGCTCCTCACATTGGTTCTAAAATCACCCAGGGGTGGTCACCTGAGCACTCAGATTCTACATGAATAATCGGAAGCTGAGAAAGGCCAGGGGTACCACCGAGACCCTGTCTCGAGGTGCTGAGTCATGGGAGTTCCTGAAGGTGCAGACCCTCACCTGTGAAACAGCAGGTGCAGCACCTGTTGGGTGGTGGCAAAACTTCGGTAGACACGCAAGAAGTTGGGGACGATGAAGGGGTCCCCTCTCTCCTGCGCAGGCACCAGCTCGTTCACCAGCCTCTGGACCATGGCGGGGTCCAGGGTCCCCATATTGTGGGCAGCCGACCAGGAGTTCACAGGAGTGACATCTGGTTCCTCAGCAGGGCCTGACTCCAGTTCATATTCTGGACACCTAGGGGCCTCCAGATCCACTGCAGGAAGACCAAAGGCTGCCCAAGGCAGTGATGGTTCAGCAAGGGTAGAAGATTTAACAGCACAGCCCTTCCTACTCCCTGTAGCCACTAAAATTGTCCATGCTTCCAGGGAAGCCGCAGGTTGCAGGAGCTAACAGAACAAGAAAAAATGTCAGCACCACAGCCCTTACAGCGGCCCCTGGTGGCACACAGGTGCTCCTCCTCTCCAGAACTGCCCACACTGTACTGCCGCCCTGATATCCCTGAGCCCGTCGTTGCTCCCAGCCAGCGCCAGCCTTGCAGCCTCCTCTCAGTGTGGCCCAGCCCTGAGACTCTCCCAGGCTCCCACGCACTGACCCCAGCCCTCCTACCCTCGGGTTCGGCCACCAGCTCCTTGGGCTCCGCGTCCTCCAACTCTGTGAGGAGCAGCTGGGCCTGGCGTGCCAGGTCCGAGAAGGGCATATGGAGCCTGACATAGGCCACCAGCTGTTTCAGCCTGGCCAGGTCCTGGAACTCATAGAAGTCGTCTGGATAGTTTTCCAGCCAGGTTCCCAGGATGGAGCAGAGGGCGCTGGGGACAGGAAGGAGGGAGGGAGAATGAGAGGCCTGGCATCTCCTGCCCCACAACTCTCCCTCACACCTCAGGGTACGGCCCCTGGGCAGAGGATGCTCAGCCCCGTGTGCAGGTGGGCAGAGCAGAGGCCCACGTGTGAGCCGTCTGTGCCCAGCCTCAAGGCACAGAATGGGAAGGGGTTGGCCGGCCCTGCTGGGATGGGTTGCATGGGGATGAATTCTCACTGCTCTCAGATGCCCTGCACCAGACAATTCTGTCTCCCTCCTCCAGGCAAGGCCCCTGACCTCAAGCCCTCTAGTAGGAACCTCAGATGTGGCAGTTGGGGTCATGGTCAGCACCCAGTTGCACCCCCGTGTCCCTGCTGGGCAGAATGGAGCCTCCCTCCTGACCCAGAGCCCACTCACTCCTTAGTGCGGTCGTCCTCTTCACAGTGAGGCTGGAAGTAGGCATACCTAGAGGAGGACAGGAGGTGTCACCTGTGGTGTCCTGGGTGCCACCTGCCAGGAGACCTAGGGGGGAGGGGCTGACTCCCTGACTACAGGGAAGAAAAGCAGGGTAGGCACAGTGGTGTGTGCTGTGCACTATATTTGTTGAGGGCTTGGACTGCACCTACACATAATGGACACTTCATTGTTAATGCTATGTGAGTGACTGAACTTAGCTCCTCCCAAGGGTCTGAGTAGCACTGGCACACACTGGAGTCTCGGTTTTGGTGACTACCAGGACACAGCACCCACATGGAAACCGGAAATTTCTTTGTGAATAGGAATAACGGCTTTACCACAGAACATGCGTGGTGAGGACTGAAGCCCAGAGCCTCATTGTGGGTGGAGGAAAATCCTAAAAGACCCTTTCCTGGGCACCCACTCCTCAGGGCCAGGCACAGGGAAACCCTTTCTGGGGCTCCTCACATTGGTTCTAAAATCACCCAGGGCTGCTCCCCGGAGCACCCACAATCTGCATGGATAATCTGAGGCTTTGCAGGGTTGGGGGTATCACCAGACTCAGTCTAGAGGTGCTGAGTCATGGGAGTTCCTGAAGGTGCAGACCCTCACCTGTGAAACAGCAGGTGCAGCACCTGTTGGGTGGTGGCAAAACTTCGGTAGACACGCAAGAAGTTGGGGACGATGAAGGGGTCCCCTCTCTCCTGTGCAGGCACCAGCTCGTTCACCAGCCTCTGGACCATGGCGGTGTCCAGGGTCCCCACATTGCTGGCAGCTGACAGGGAGTTCACAGGGGTGACACCTGATTCCTGGAGGGGTTCTGATTCAAGTTCCAATTCTGGGTAGTCAGGGGCCTCCAGAACCTCTTCAGTTAGACCAAAGGCTGCCCAGGGAGAGATGTTTCAGCAAGAGGAGAAAATATCAAAGCAATAGCCCTTCCTACTCCCTGTACCCAACAAATTGCTCGTGCCATCCGGGGAAGCCGCAGGTTGCAGGAGCTAACAGAACAAGAAAAAATGTCAGCACCACAGCCCTTACAGCAGCCCCTGGTGGCACACAGGTGCTCTTCCTCTCCAGAACTGCCCACACTGTACTGCCGCCCTGATATCCCTGAGCCCGTCGTTGCTCCCAGCCAGCGCCAGCCTTGCAGCCTCCTCTCAGTGTGGCCCAGCCCTGAGACTCTCCCAGGCTCCCACGCACTGACCCCAGCCCTCCTACCCTCGGGCTCAGCCACCAGCTCCTTGGGCTCCGCGTCCTTCAACTCTGTGAGGAGCAGCTGGGCCTGGCGTGCCAGGTCCGAGAAGGGCATATGGAGCCTGACGTAGGCCACCAGCTGTTTCAGCCTGGCCAGGTCCTGGAACTCATAGAAGTCGTCTGGATAGTTTTCCAGCCAGGTTCCCAGGATGGAGCAGAGGGCGCTGGGGACAGGAAGGAGGGAGGGAGAATGAGAGGCCTGGCATCTCCTGCCCCACAACTCTCCCTCACACCTCAGGGTACGGCCCCTGGGCAGAGGATGCTCAGCCCCGTGTGCAGGTGGGCAGTGCAGAGGCCCACGTGTGAGCCGTCTGTGCCCAACCTCAAGGCACAGAATGGGAAGGGGTTGGCCGGCCCTGCTGGGATGGGTTGCATGGGGATGAATTCTCACTGCTCTCAGATGCCCTGCACCAGACAATTCTGTCTCCCTCTCCAGGCAAGGCCCCTGACCTCAAGCCCTCTAGTAGGAACCTCAGATGTGGCAGTTGGGGTCATGGTCAGCACCCAGTTGCATCCCAGTGTCCCTGCTGGGCAGAATGGAGCCTCCCTCCTGACCCAGAGCCCACTCACTCCTTAGTGCGGTCATCCTCTTCACAGTGAGGCTGGAAGTAGGCATACCTAGAGGAGGACAGGAGGTGTCACCTGTGGTGTCCTGGGTCCCACCTGCCAGGAGGCCTGAAGGGGAGGGGCTGACTCCCTGACTAGCAGGGAACAAAGCAGGGCATACACGGTGGTCTCTGCTGTGCACTGAATGTTGCTGGGGCCTGGACTGAAGCCTGCACACAGTGGATGCTTCATTACGTTTGCTGTGTGTGATCTCAGCCTGCTCCTTAAAAGGTGTGTGGGGGCCTGGGTGCCCTCTGCCAACCCCTATTGCTTGGTTCTGGCCACTGCTAGGACAGAGACCTCCACATCGATCTGGAAGCTCTTTGGGAACAGGAAAGCCACTCTGCTGAAAGCCATAGTACAGGATTCCTTAGACCCACAGCCTCATCTCGGGGCCAGGGGAGGACAATCCTGAGTCAGTCCCCATGTCCTGGGCAGGCCACCACTCAGGACCAAGCACTAGGAGGTATTTTATTATCCTGGTGGTTGCTCCCCTGAGCAGCAAGATGCTGCAAGAGCAAACTGAAGCCCTGAGTGGGGGGTCAGGATGTCTCCAGGACCCCGCCTAAGTGATGATCCCCATGTGCCTGCAGGTGCAGGCCCTCACCTGTGAAACAGCAGGTTCAGCACCTGCTGGGTGGTGGTGAACCTTCGATAATTGCACAAGAAGGTGGGGACGATGAAGGGGTCCCCTCTCTGCTGGGCAGGCACCAGCTCCATCACCAGCTTCTCGACCATGGCTGTGTCCAGGGTCCCCATGCTGCTGGCAGCCAACAGGGACAGCACAGGGGCCTGTGCTGCTGGCTCCTCTGATTGCAGCATAGATCCTGGCCCCATCTCCGCTGCCGCGGCCTCTGCAGGGTCCGGCTCCAGGGAAGCTGAATCAGCTGCTTTTGGTGAGGGCTCCCCCTCCAGCCTGCCTGCCACCATGGCCCCCACTCTGCTGGTGTCATCCTGGGATGTGGCCAAGTCACTGTCATTCTGGGGTGAACAAGGAGGGTGGTTGTAATCCTGGCCCTGATGTTCTGCCCCCACCCTCCTGCAGTTGTCATGGGACCACCAGGTCCCCATCCCACCCCCCGTCCCTTCCCATGGGCCACTACCTCCCCAAACTACCCCCTCACACCACCCAAGATGGATGCAGGGCCACCCAGGAGGATCAGAGGGGAGGTCTGCCCAGGGGTCCTGGCCTGGCTGGCTGAGATCACCTTGGCTTCCCTCTGAGAGAATTGCCAGAGCTGCTGTGGGCGAGGGCTGACCCAATGTCTGTAGCTCTGGAGAATATCCGCAGCCTGGGGCTGGCCCTGGCCTGGGCCTTGAGACGGCGAGAGACAACTCGAGAACATATCTGCTCGATGGCCTCTGACCAACTGAACTGGCTGGGTCACCAGCACCACATTGTGGGTGCCTGGTAACCGGGGTTCCAGGTTCTGTTGTGGCCATCGTCAAGGAAGTGAGGTCACTTCCTGAGGTCCTCTCAGCGGACCTCCCCTAGGGTTCTATCGCTGCTGACTGCCCCCCGGGACAGATGCCGTGTGCACACCTGCATCCAGTTACACCAGCACCACCCCCCCAGCTCCCTGAGGGAGGCCTGGGCCAGCCACACTCTCCAACTAGGAGGTCATAGACCAGGGTCAGACCCACCATCTCCTTCCTCTAGGCCTGTGTCCCTGGACAAGTCCTTGTTCCTCTCAGGGACTCCCCTGTCCCCCCTCTGCTCCCAGGGGTTTATTCTATCATTTGCTTCCAAGGGATGCCCTCAGGGGTATGGAATACTAAGCACTTGTGTGAGCTATGAAATCTGAGGCCTGGTATCAAAGCCAGGAGCTTCTTTTGGGTTTCCCATGTAGGTGCAGGGGCCCAAGGACTTGGGCCATATTATACTTCTTTCCCAGGCCATAGCAAGGAGCTGGACTGGAAGTGGAGCAGCAGGGACTCAAACTGGCACCCATATGCAATGCTGGCCCTGCAGGCAGAAGCTTTACCTGCTATGCCACAGCACCAGCCCCTTGAAGGTCAGTTTCAAAGTCACTGATTTAAGTTTTGTACAAACAATCTGAGGTCATTCTCTCTGATGATATTAACAAACTGAATGCCTGGTATGGCAACATTGGACAGAAAAATGCATGTTATTTTTATGACAATAGAAGTTATAACAATTTAGGAAAGGATATTTATATGTCCATTTTCCATAGCAGGAAAACACACAACCATGTCTTTGCATAGGGATATCAATTATGTAAGAAACACACAATATTATCTTGCTACATGTGTTTGTATGTGTGTGTGCATTGTATACAATTACACACCAAGGGGAAGAGACAAAGGACTTATGTTTATTCACTAAAATTATTTTTTAATCTTGTAAACTTGGAGACAACTTCCACAGGCTGTGTTTGGCTGAAGATTTTTCTGGAATCATTGTACCTCGGTGTCCGCACAGCAGAGACCTCAGTCACACGTGGTCCTTTTCCTATGATGGCCAGGGACGTGGACACAACCCGCTCCCCGATTCGTCTCAGGATGAGACAGCAGTGACCGTAACTGAATCCCTGTGTCTGAAACGCACCTCCTCCCGGTGTGCAATAGTTACTTTGGGAAACAATGCCTTGTATGTGAGGGGGAACAGTGTAAGGCTTGGGAAGAACAGCAGAGGAAGATGCAGGCTTGCAGATTTGAGACGTGTAGATTATTTACTGATACCTACAATTTATTTAGGCAGGTAAGTCCAAGTAAGAGAACACGTCCGAGGAGTAAGTCCAGGCGGATGCTACCTAGGGGAGCCGCCTGTCAGAGGACATTTAACGTAATTGTGCCAGAGAAATATGGCGACTATTCCTGCTGACATGTACTCCTGCTTTGCATAATGAACTTTGTGAACAAAGAAATAAACGGCACCATGAGAGGCTTGTTTGAGTCTCAAGGGGAGGTGGGCACAGAGTCAGCCCCCTCCTCAGCTGAGTACAGACGCTCTGCCATTTACAGTGGGTGGCACCCCGGGAAGTTGCAAATCCTGCAAGCTGGGATGCATTCAGCACAGCAACTTACTAAACATCCTAGCTGAGCTGAGCCTGCCTCGAATATGCGCAGCACACCCACATCAGCCGACAGAGGGCGCAGTCACCCAGCCCAAAGCCTGGTTTACACCTGAGCACCTCCTGTAGCAGACTGAGCACCTGCGTGCAAAGGGCACCAGGAGCCCGGCACCCACAAACCACCGGCTGACCGCGAGCTGCCCCGTGTCAGGAGAGAGCATGGACCACGGAGTGCTGGCCCAGGGGAAAGACTAAATTCAAAACCCAGGTCCAAATTTCTACAGAAAGCCCTTGGCTTCCCCACTATCCTGAAGTCGGGAAATCCTTAGGTGGAACCCTTGTACATCAGGGGCCTAGTGTGTACAGAAATATGCGAGGACCCTTTCAACTTAGGATTTTGATATATGTATTCATTGATGATTCTTGCAGGCTTCTGTCCACACAGCCATGCCCAGGACACTGCCTCAGTGCTCCCAAACTTCTGGAATCTGCAGGATAAGCACGCTTCGGTTCATCACAGGCAGCCCCTTCTGTCACCATCCAGGGCAAACTGCAGCAATGCTGACCCCTCCCTGATCACCTAACCCCACCCAAGCCCAGCCAGTTCCCCTGCACCCTCTCTATGCAAGGCCCCAAGATTCTCTAGAGCCTGTGCACCCCAGAGAATTGCAGCAGGTAACAAACCCCAGGCTGATGGTAGGTGTGGTCCTTTGGCCTCTGCCTGGGGCCCTGGACTGTGATGAGTGTGCTGCTGCCCTGGGGGCTCTGGGCAGATCTCTCAGGAGCGAGGGGCTGGGACATGGTGGTGGGAGGCAGGAGGGGAATCAGGCAGCCTGAGCCAGTGTGGACGCGCCATGGTTGGTTGGTAGAGTGTGCCATGGGCAGGGGAGGTCACGCCCAGAACCCTTCCGTCTGCATCCAGCCCCCAAGTGCACCCCTCTCAGTGAGAGCTCAGAAGCCATTTGCCAGGTGAATGAGCCCCGGGTGAACAAGCTGATGCTGTGCCTGGGGTAGTGTTTGCTGAGGATGCCAGAGCCAGGTGTGGCACCAGCCCAGCCCCTCCTTCCTCCACAGGGTCCCCTTTGCTTGGCCGGCAGCCAGGGGCTCCTGCGATTTTCACAAATCCAAATCCCCTCTTGTAGCAGCCAGCACGGCAGCACAGCTGCTGATTTCCCCAGGGCTGTCGCCGGACAGCGAAGCCAAATGACACCTGCAGGAACTTTCTCCTTTTCTTCTTCCTGAGAGGCGAGTGCGGCCAGAAGCAGCGTCTTGTGTGCAGCGCTGTGAGCCGACCCGAGAAGCATTAAGGCAGCGCCCCCGCCTCTTAGTGAGGGGACTCACACTGGCACAGGAACCCACGGGGCTCGAGTTGAGCCCTACACCTTCCTAACGCCATCTCTACAAATGGATTTGCTGCCCAGGCTGTGATGAAACCTGGGAGGATTTGGGGTAGGGAAACCCTTGTCGTCAGCAGGTGGAAATACAAACAAATGAAACACATCTTACGCGACGAAAGAAAGAAAAAAAAAAAAAAAACACTCCATGACTCAGAGTTTGGGGATCCATGGTATAGAAATGGCAGGATGAGGCTGGCGCCGCAGCTCACTAGGCTAATCCTCCGCCTAGCGGCGCCGGCACACCGGGTTCTAGTCCCGGTCAGTCGGGGCGCCGGATTCTGTCCCGGTTGCCCCTCTTCCAGGCCAGCCCTCTGCTGTGGCCAGGGAGTGCAGTGGAGGATGGCCCAGGTGCTTGGGCCCTGCACCCCATGGGAGACCAGGAAAAGCACCTGGCTCCTGGCTCCTGCCATCGGATCAGCGCGGTGCGCCGGCTGCAGCGGCGGCCATTGGAGGGTGAACCAACGGCAAAGGAAGACCTTTCTCTCTGTCTCTCTCTCTCACTGTCCACTCTGCCTGTCAAAAAATTTTAAAAATAAATAAATAAATAAAAGAAATGGCAGGATGGTGTTAGAGCCAGGTCTTGACTTTTTTTTTTTTTTTTTTTTTGGACAGGCAGAGTGAACAGTGAGAGAGAGAGACAGAGAGAAAGGTCTTCCTTTACCGTTGGTTCACCCTCCAATGGCCGCTGCGCACTGCACTGATCCAAAGCCAGGAGCCAGGTGCTTCTCCTGGTCTCCCATGCAGGTGCAGTGTCCATGGACTTGGGCCATCCTCCACTGTACTCCTAGGCCACAGCAGAGAGCTGGCCTGGAAGAGAGGCAACCAGGACAGAATCTGGCACCCCAACCGGGACTAGAACCCGAGGTGCCGGCACTGCAGGCAGAGGATTAGCCTAGTGAGCCGCAGCACCAGCCAGAGCCAGGTCTTACAAGGAATTATAGCAGGCTTTGTGCTCTGTGGCTAAAACTGGCAATGAAGTCCTCTCAATTTCGGGGCAGTGGTGGAGTAAATCATGGCTCATTCACACCACAACATTATGCAGCCATCAAAATTACACCAGAAACACAGCCGTTCCATCCCCATGCAGGAGTCTCCAAGAACAACAGTCGACAGAGGTGACATGGGTGCAAGTCAGCCCATCCGGGGCAGATGGAGGAGCACTGGGTCCTGTGCCAGCCATGGTGCATCCTGGGTGTGATTTTATCTGTGTGCCTGCCTGTGTGTGACGACCACACGAGCCTAGAGAGACTGACAAGAGCCGTGTGAGGCTGGGGACTGGTTACAAGCAAAGCAGGGGTGATGGGGGGTGGAGGAGCAGACACAAAAGGAAAGTGAAAATGAGCTGAGGCAGCAGGTAAAAAACCCAGCGGTCGGGGCGGGCATTTGGCTCAGCAGTTAAGATGGTGCCCGGGATACCCTCATCCTGAAGTAGCACCTTGACAGTAGGGACTCCATTTTGGAGCACTTGAGACTCCATTCTGGGAAAGCACCTCCCACCACCACCACCGTGAGACTCTGGTCTGAAATTATGATCTCAAATAGTCGGACAATAGCAGTGCACTACATCACCCTTGGCAGAGCACAGAAACCCCCTAGCATGATCGCTCAAGCTTGGAAGTAGAAAGGTGGCACCTGGGTTAATAATAAAGATGTGACTTGTCTATGTCTTACATATAATTAAAACTAATAATTGGATTAATGTCAAGATTATAATTGATAACTGTTAAGATTATAACTGGTATTGTCAAGATTATAATGGATATTAATTTCACTTAGGTCTTAGGTTATCTTGACCCCAGTAACTATGTACTCTCTTTTGATCTTAGCAACCATGTATTCCCCCTCCCGATTTTGCGTTTTTTGCCTTTATAAACCCTGTAGCTTTGGGCCTCGGGGTCGGGAGTTCTTTGGGGCATGAG